TCTAACAGGTCGTTCCCCAGCCTATACTGGATGTTTGTATGGTTTTTCTTCCTACATTGTCATTAATTTCATGCAAAGGATACACAGTGCAATATCACTCCATTAGGTCACATTGCTAAGTCATTTATAACTCGTTTATCCTCAGCGTGTGTTTATTAATGAAATATAAGACATACTCCTTTAAATGCGGTCCCACATGGTCTTGCGGTTAGGATTCCTGGTTTTCACCCAGGTGGTCCGGGTTCGACTCCCGGTGTGGGAAAGCATGACTGTTTTAGGGGGCCAGTTAGCTCAGTTGAGCGTAGCGCTAATAACGCTAAGGTAGCGGGTTCGTTTCCCGTTTGGTCCCCATGTGTTGCCTGATCTAAGCGAGAGGGGGCATCACTGGTGGCAGGGAGGCTGAATTAAAATGATCTCTAAGGTCTCTTCCAGCTTAGGCCATTCTATGATCCTTTCAGAAAAGCAACTCTTAGGAAAAAGTCAGTGTACCTGACTAGATACTATAGCTATATTGACTCTCTTCCAAATGTGGTCTTACTATTTGTACGTAGGAAAAATAGTTTACTCTCTGAATGTACCACTAATGTGATCTGCTAGTTTGTAGCAAGGGCAATGAACTGATGATAGCAGTATCTTGCAGCTTCATGGGTGACACTGTGCCACCGTGAGAGAAGGGCAGGTCCCTTTTCTTCTGGAGGTCACAGAGTTTGGGAACTTGTCAGGCCGCCACCACCACTGCAGGCCCTCCAGTTACATCAGACACCTATGGTCTTGCTGATGTGCAAGAATGGGGCTACACAACCTTCTAAGTCACTTTCCCTCCCATCTGTGTGTGAGTATTAAGATGAGCACAGAACATCAAACTGGTAAAGGCTGCTCAAGCACTTTTCTACAGTACGCTTCTGACTGTTGACTTCTCCAATGTGAGTACAGTCAGAACAAATTTAGAGTCTTCTCAGTATCACAGAAAAAAGAACTGAATTAGTAAATTATAGTCCTGGAGAGATGAGTGGTAATGTAACTGCCATCCAGAGAGACCTGGACAGGCTAGA